GCTCACGAGTGCACAGCCGACGGTGGCTTTCCTGGGGAGCCTGCTGCCCTGACCCCAGAACCCCGGATCGGCAGCCGCCGGGGTGCTGACCTCTCGGCTGACCTGTCCCTCCCCCGACAGCAGACGAACCTGCAGCAGCAGATGGACTCCCAGAAGACGCACATCTACCGCCTGACGCAGGGCCTGCAGGAGGCGCTGGACCAGACCGAGCTGCTGAAGACGGAGCGCTCGGACCTCGAGTTCCAGCTGGAGAACATGCAGGTAACAGCGCCAGGAGCTCTGGAGTCCGGAAAGAAGTTACTGTCGCTAAATCCACGCTGCAGCTACGCCAGCGATACTGCAGCTTGTGGAATTGCACTTCGCTGCTCAGGAGAGTTTTATTACATAGAGAATTCCATCAGTAGAATAACTATTGAAAATTACTGCACTAATGGATTGCAATGTGTTAGTGGGATAGATCAAGCGAATGGGGGAGTTTTCTAGCAGATCGAGTTCCTCGTAGTGGAAAACCTGTGGTAGATTAGCAACTCGTAGAAAAATGACACTTACAAATGTTTATGATTCAGGAACCTGCTTTTTATTCTTGTTCATCTCACCCCTTAGTCACCGACGGGGGGAGGACAGGGTCAGTGTTTTTCCTTGATCAATAAAGGGACGACAGCAAGGCTAAATGGGCTTGTTTTTGTTAAAGAGCGGCCTCGTGGGATTTGCATATAAATGAAGCCGTCGCTGTTGTTTTGGTTGTAAGTGTTCTCAACAGAACCGGCAGGGAGAGGTCATGAATAAATTACCTGCAGTGCTGTTTTGGGAGACCTGATACCATCCCTGGCGTTTGTACTGCTTTTCTGTCGCTGCTGCTGTTTGAAAAATTCAATTTCACAGGGTTGTGCATGAACTCACCCCTGAACACCGACAGCTGTTTGGTGAGCCCTTCGATTAAAACACCAAACGAGGATGTGCTGTTCGATTGCAAGTACAGCGTATGCCGATAGGAAAACAGCGGACAGCTGAATCTTTTGGCTTAGTGGAGTCTAACAGAGCTGTGGAGGAGAAATGCGGAAGTTGGTCTGGTTTAGCTGATGCGGCTGGAGATGTTCCGTGTTCTTTGATTGGATAGAAACCAATATCAGACCAGTTCCTGCGATCATCTAATCCACAGGGCCTGCCAGTCACGAGTGTAGGTGGGTGCTGTTCTACCACAGCCTGTTTGTGCGTTCTGCTTCTACAGAAGCTGACACAAACACCCAGGTGTGTCAAATAACAGATCAATAATGTAGTGCTCAGAGACCGTCTGGAGGGTCCGGCTGTGTGGAGGGTGGTGAGCCCAGGAGCCATGCAGGTCTGCAGTTGCAGTTCTTGTTAGCCTTTCCCCCCTGGGGCTGTGTTTGCTCTGCATGAGCTGCTCATCCCTTCCCTGTCAATTCCGACTGGGCGTTCCGATGGAGAAGGACTGCTCCAAATACGGCTCGTTACGGCGATTCCTGAGCAGCTCGAGATCCGTG